TTATTTATTGAATCATGTAAAAATAACAATATTAAGCCCATTAGAGATTAACATAACTAAAATATTTTCATGGAAAAACCCTAATTTTTTAAACAAATAATAATAATGAGAAGAGTGACACTGTTTTAAATTTCTTTTCTCTTTCTCCTATTATGGGCATTAATAGGGGCCATAAGAATATCTTTGCTTCTTCAGTGATTAATACCAGTTCAAAGCCTTTTCTCTGAATTCACCAAAGCACTGTTGCTTGAACTTCTGGCTTGCAGTTCATCTGTCTTGTTTTTTGTGCCACAGGTCACCATCCAAAACAAACAGGCAACTGTAAGCAGTTGTTCCCATATTAATCATCTGTACAGATCAAGGGCATAGTGACACACATAACGAAGAGTGGAACTTTAAGGGGCTCAAGGCCCAGAAAAACAGATGATGGAATACAGGTCTCCTGTTGTTCTACTTCAGCTCTAGTAAAGCAAGGGTTTCTGAATATGGATGGAACCTTGCCGAATAGGCATTTCTAGGATTAATGCAGCTAATACAGCAAAATAAAGACAATGAAGTGTTCTGAAGAATTAGTGAAGAGGGATTTTGGCACATATTGCCCTAAGTTCTCCCCAACTAGTACTCTCCAGTTTTGTTGAACTTTGATTCTTAAAATTCCCAGCTAAAAAACCAGATTGGAGAACAATGTCTTACACTATTCAGTACAGTATTAGAAGCTAAAGCCACAGCGATAGAGAAATGTTCCCAGTATAATCCAGTTGGTGTGAAATTTCTTTTAATATGCACAAAACGCGTAAATTGTACAAAAAGTGGCTAGCTTGCTTTGATGAAATGATTTTGAGGGGGGAATATCCCATTTATTCATATCTTACCTCTCAGAATATAGTTTAATATTTGAGCTACAGTATTTAGGTATTGGGTTTGCTTATACAAATGATCACAGCCTGCAGTCCGGCTTTCAGAAATTGCAGCCAGCTGGTACTTACACACATCCTGCTGTTTGAAACATCACAAGAATGGAAATAAGAGTACTGACAGAATACCCATTCTATTTTCACTGCTGTTACATATGTTGAAGGCCCAACACATATATGTCTGCTCTCACTCTGATCAAAATACTGATCAAAATACTTTCTTTAAAAACTTTGAAAATATAATATGCGGCCTTATATACTACCAAGGAGTAAAGAACATTAAAATTGGGGGCCAACATATAGGATGCACTAGTAATTTCACCATGGATTTGGTTATGATAAAATGATTGATAATATACAGATCAATAATCCATATGTAGATAAGTGTACTAGTTTCCATTGCAAGCCAGTATGCAGTGATTAAGGTGTCAGGCTAGAAAGCGGGAGACTGTGAGTTCTAGTCCTGCCTGAGGTCCAAAGCCAGCTAAGTGACCTTGGGCCAGTCACTCTCAGCCCTGGGAAGGAGACAACGGCAAACCACTTCTGAAAAGCCTTGTCAAGAAAACTTCAGGGACTGGTCCAGGCAGTCATCAGGAGTCAAAAACTGACTAGAAGGCACTAAAGGAAAAAAAAAAAGTTTCCATTACACCTGTGCGTATGTGAATGTTATTAGCTCATTTCTGAAGGATTCCATTTGGAAGGATTTTTAAAGAAATCTTTGAAAAAGACAAAATATTGCCAGTAATTTACTACAGAAGCTGTCCCAAAATAGGTACCTTGCTATAAACCTATATACCTAAAATTAAGATATATAATCAGTAAATAAGAATACTAATGATGATCATCACTTTTATGCTATAGAGACCATAATTTGCTGGGTGGTGAAAGCTAAAGTAACAACTTTGGCAACACTGTATACTGTATAACATAATAATGCTTATTAGCTAAAAGCTACATCAAAATCTTCAGTCCAGTCGGAGTTCCTGGTGAAAGAGGAGAAAATTAGCTTGTGCCATAAATCCAGATAAAACCTCCTCCATGCCACATCACGCAAGAAGTGCACTGTAAGGATTTAGCATATCTGCCTGCAATTATATAGTTGGGAAGGAGTTAGTATATGTCTTTGTAAATGCCAAGTGCTTGAGTCAGTGTATAAAGAGAGAGGACCATACCACTCCTTTGAAAAACATTTGGAGATTTACAAAAACTATTCAAAAACTAATATAAAATTATTGTTGTATGTCTAAAAGTTGCTCTTTATCAATTCTTTGCTCCTGGATAATCTAATTCTCTATCATAAGGCCAAGGTGCATAGCATACATTTTTCTGATAATACTGAATAAATTAACAAGCCTATCATTTGATGTATCATCTCTACTGCCTTTCTTGTAGATTGGATACTACTAATGTCCCATCCCTCAGTCTTTGGGGATAAAGGCTAATCCTATCTATAAAGAAGAGTAACACAGCCAGAATTAATAGCAACCAGTAAGCATATTTTCTTACATCGCTCAGGGGTGGAGGGGCAAATTGGAATTAACATTAACAATTTCTAAACATTTTACAAGCTTTGATTCAACAAGAAACATTAGTTTCCATGAAGAATGTGGCAGGATTTAAATTAGCAGACTAATCTGTAGACACATGGGGATCTTTCAGCTTTATTTTCTAAGTTGCAGGGTGGATGTCACTTTTTTCATGTTTGCTATGAGGATTGGATGCATGCAACTTCTCTGTCTGATGCAGTCCTCAGATACATGATCCCTTCTCTGAAGCCATGCCCATGACATAATGTGACCTACTGATCACATTGGATTCAGTTCACCAACTTTGGCATACAACATTTCTGCTATGCAGACTGGAACCTCACGTTGGATCATGATTGTTTAAACAAATCCTGAATTAAGTAGATACACATGTCATGCATAATCATGAGGTTTGGTTTGGATTGGATTAGCACAATGTCTGAACCCAACCACCACACAGGTTTATGGTGCAGTGTGCTATTCATGATGGTTTATTCAATAGACTGGTGAAACTAAATGTAATGTTTGAACCAAGGGTGGAAAAAGCCATACCTGAAATATTGGAGAGGACTAATTATGTAGAATCCAGAAAAAAATGTTTTTGTTAGTCAGAGGCAAAATTGAAACATAGCAAAAATGATGTTTGAGATTAGTCTTCTCCAACTAATGTAGATGGTTGGACTATAACTCCCAGCCAGTATATTCAATGGTTGTAATTCAACCCAGTTGGAAGACCCCAAGTTGGGGAGGCTTGTCTAGACATACTCTGGATTTGCACTATAGTGATCTTCTGGGCTGCCAGATACAGATGATTTACTACTTGTTCATTTGACCTCTTTGTGCTTTCTCTAACACAGAGACAGTGCTGCTGCCAATCACCTTTCTTACAAATCGGCTATGCCTAAGTTTGTTCAACTTGGTTATCAGTTTAGATTTAATTAATCCTTTTAAGAAATGTCTTCAGTTGAACTCTGAATCATGAGTTTGCTTAATAGTTTTCTGTAATAGCTCATTGAGAAGAACACATGAAAATTAGAGATGGTTATGGATTTGCTTGAGGCGTAGAAGTTTTGAATATATTTGGCTTCACAATTGCAGTTAATGACAAGCATTCTCTGAATTGCCTCAATAAGGCAGAGTTAGCTCGTAGCTATATGACTTTTATACTACAATATAATCTTCATATTAAGCAACATGAAATCCTGTTCACGAGCTGAAAGGAAGGCAATTTTATTAAGCCAAGTTATACTGTACTGAATCACCAGTCATGGCAGGATATATCTTGCTCAAATATATTACATATCTCTTGGCTTTTGGAAGATATTTAAAGCTGCTAGATTCTGTTAATTTAATAGGGCTTGTGATCAAATGGAAAAAGAAAGCTTTATCCCTTCTGAAATTTTCTTGGGGTGCCTCTTTCTATGTTCTTCCTCAGCTTGTTCCCCTTCAGATGCATTTGGACAACAAATCCCATATTCTCAACCACTATGCCCAATATTCCAATGCTGACAGAGAATTCTGGGAACTATAATCCTAACACATCTGGAGAGCACTAGATTGAGGAAGACATGAAATTACTGTGCAAGCTTACATTGGTTCAAATGTAGCACTGAACACCTTGGATATAAATTAAACATGCCATACTATTCAATGTGAATGAATTACACAATTGTAAATGTGGGGTTTTCTTTTTTTAAAAAATAAAACCTTTGTTTATGCCAATTTCTTTCTTAAATTCCTTTGCTTTAAATATGTAGAACTCTAAGGCTGCATGTACTTAGAGACAAAACTGTGAATGGAATGCTGTAATTCTTTTTTCAAATGTTTTGTGGTTTTTGTTTTCTTTTTAGCAAGATGTGGTGGTGGAAGCTTTATTATCTTCCTGTTCTGAAATTGCTGGGTTATCTCAACACTTAATGTTCTACCTCGCTTCACTTGATTGAAAAGCTCTTGAAGCTGGAGAAAGGAGGTCCGAATAGACTGTTTAGAAACAGTGTAAAGAATACTTTCCAATTAATGTAAGTACCTCCAATTCCAGATTGCTAGCTCTATGCTAAAGCTAAGAAAAAAACTGGAACCTCCCTACTAAGAGCATACACTTTATGAATAAAATAGTTAACTTTAAAGATTTTCACTATGTATTTGATGAAACGGTGTTTGAAATGAGATAAGATCTATCTGTCTAAACTAGTAAATAGTTCACTATCCTTTATCTCAGTAGTAAACTTTCTGGCAAATATGATTTAGAGCAATTTGGGCCATCTATCTTTATATTTTAATAAATAAACAGGCTAATTGTTGTTAGGGGGGTTTATTCCCCAAAGGTATAAGATTCTTCCAGTTATTTTGACAAACTTAATAATATAAATTAATCAGAAGTTAAATTAAACTTTAAACAATTAAATCAGAATGAATTTTGTACACCATGCTAAAGTAATTTGTTTGATTAATAGGAGGTGGTGCAAGTACTGCCTTTTTTACTTCCTGTCTTATACAGTTTTTAATCCAAGCCCCAGTTTTTTTCTAAGCCTTGGCATACAGGTAGTAACCTGGACCCCGAGGCACTACTGTGCCCCAGTTACCTCCCTTGATACCTATCAGGCTCCTCACTCCACCCAACTTTTTAC